CCAGCACATTTCAGAATTACTTAAATAAATCATAAAATAAATGATGGGTCTGTAGTCCATCTAATGTTGTTTTGAAAGCTTCTACGATAAAATGAAAAGTCTTTTATAGAAGGTCTGCGGCTCACTCAGTGTCTGGGGGGTGTGTGAATTATTGCTTCATGAATAACCGGAGCAGGAGAAGCCTCACGGATTGCCACACGAATTAGTGTAAAGGGAGGTGAATGCATCTATCACAGCTTCACCTGACGAGGCTGAAATAGACAGCTGGATTTCACCCAGGGGTTTGTGGCACCTGAGACATCGGCCTTGGGATGACACCCAGTCCTGTAACCCAACAGGAATCAGGAGCAGGACCATGATCCATGGCATCCCTTCCAGGTCAGCCAGCTTGTGGAGGGGCTGCAGCATCCCAGGGTGTCAGGGTGTCCCTCCTGCCACAACACTGCAGTGTCCATGTGGTCACCATGAGGTGGAAAAGTCACCCCTTTTGCCCGCTTTCCTTCATGCTTCTTTGCAGTCAGCCGCCCCCCAATGTGCTGCCCTCCCCTTTCCACACCAGACAGACCTGGATATCACTGGTAATGGTGTACAGCCTCTTAACTCACCAACCCAGGTCTACAAGGAAAGACCCAAAATAGGACCTGGGATCTGAATTCATGGCAACACCACACCTATGTTGTGCCACAGTGCCAGGGCAAGGACCAGGCTTGGACCATTCCTGCCCACCCGCCTCACATCCCCCTCTGTGCAGAGGAAATCTCTGTGCACGTATGGTATCCCAAGTCGTGTATCTTCCCTCCATTCCTTCCTTCCTTGAATATCTGGAGCCATCAAGCTCCCTCATATTCTTTTTGGAGGTACCACATCTCTGCTTGCTTCCTTTTATGTAAATCTTTGCAACCTGCTAGAGTATTATTAAGCTGCTGAGTACATATAATTTTCATATGAAATGACAGCTAATATCTTCAGTATCCACATAGCCCAGCCTGTTTTCTGGAGAGGCTTAATGGCTTTAAGCAAAGCCTGCTTCCCTTCCATGTTTATCTTCTTCTTATCCATCTTGCAGGAGTATGAGACATTCTGCCATCAGGTCTGGGCGAAAGAAATTACTGCACTGCTATAGATGTCTCTAAAATAAAATTTAAAAAATATCGTCTGTTGCTCAAAACCACCATTTTCTTCCTAGCTGAGCAGATTTAGGACTTTTTCTCTCATTATTTGTTCTTTTCTTATATATAAACATCTTCTGAAGGGGAATTCTGGCATTCTCTGAAAAATATGTGAGAGAAACCCTGAGAGGAGGTGGTCTGCAGGATTTTGCAGGTGAGGGAAGGCTGAGTGAGCTGCTCAGCAAAGCCGGCGCAGCTGCTTGTCCTGGAGCTGGCCTGAAGAAAGGCAGCATTCCCTATGGAGTAACTGTTTGAAGGCTGGGGCTGTGCAGACTCAACACAGCTCCTCAGAAGTCCCTAATTTGGCAGCCATCAGTTGCAGGAGGTCGAGAGGTGGCTGGCAGAAGTGCTCCTCTGCTGTGGACAGGGCACTCAAACCTGGGTTAGTCTTGCCCAGGGTGATGGACTGAGATCTGAGGAGACAAAGTCACTGAAAAAAATATTAAAAAAAAAAAAACAGTATCCTTGGCAGCCACAAATAGAAGGATATCTGAATGAGAAGAAGAAAGAAGGTAGTTTGGATATTGAGTTTTACATGTCTCTTGGTGGCAGCAAGGCTGGCTGAGCAATGTAAGTGGATACTGCAATAAAAGGGAAGAGTGCTGCCAGGCTATGCAATGTGAATCCTATTAAATGACAACAATAGCAAATTTTGGTTTGTCCTTGTAAATCCCTAGATTATTTTTTTATATATACCTTAACTGGATTTTATAATCTCTACAGTAAGACTTTAGAATAGGTTTACACAGAAAAATGTCACGGACCCAGGTACTCTCCTCATTCTCTTTCTGCGTCTCTCCCTGCTGTAATCCCTCTGGATTAGGCTGCAGGAGAACCTAGTGGAAGTGGACAGGCTCATCCCAATGACATTGCTCAGCAGGCACTTCTTTCTCATTGAGTTGGTTGGAACCATACTGGCTCCAAAATGTTAAGCCCTGCTTAACAGGCAACTGGGAACAATTTTGAGGTATTGAAAAAGTTCCCACTTTACACAGGAGAGGAGCAGTCCATATATTTTAGCTACCAAGAATTGCAGTGTTAAATGCTCAGGCAATTAAGAATATAAATCTCATTGATTTTTCTGCCCAGAGAAGAAACTGAAGTAACATAGGCACTTTGAGAACTTTTATCACAAGTCTCTGCCTACAGCTTCAGGATAGAATCACAGAATCATAGAATGGTTAGGGTTGGAAGGGACCTCAAAGATCATCTAGTTCCAATCCCCCTGCCACGGGCAGGGAAACCCTCCACTACACCAGGTTGCCCAAAGCCTCATCTTGGACCACCTCAGGGGGTGGCCCAGCCACAACTTCTCTGGGCAACCTGTGCCAGTGCCTCACCACGCTCAATGTAAAAAATTTCTTCCTTATATCTAATTGAAATCTCCCCTCTTTCAGTTTAAAGCCATTGCCCCTTGTCCTATCACCACACACCCTTGTTAAAAGTCCCTCTCCAGCTTTCCTGTAGGCCCCCTTTAAGTACTGGAAGGCTGCAATAAGATCACCCCGGAGCCTTCTCTTCTCCAGGCTGAACAGCCCCAACTCTCTCAGCCTGTCTTCATAGCAGAGGTGCTCCAGCCCTTGGATCATCTTCGTGGCCCTCCTCTGGAACCGCTCCAGCAGCTCCATGTCCTTCTTGTGTTGGGGACCCCAGGGCTGAATGCAGTATTCTAGGTGGGGTCTCATGAGAGCAGAGTAGAGGCGCAGAATCACTTCCCTCGGCCTGCTGGCCACGCTTCTTTTGATGCAGCCCAGGGTACAGTTGGCTTTCTGGGCTGCAAGCACAGGTTGCCGGCTCATGTTGAGCTTCTCATCCACCAGCACTCCCAAGTCCTTTTCCTCAGGGCTGCTCTCAATCCGTTCTCCGCCCAGCCTGTACTTGTGCTTGGGATTGCCCCGACCCACGTGCAGGACCTTGCACTTGGCCTTGTTAAACTTCATGAGGTTCTCACAGGCGCACCTCTC